CATTCCTACTACCAAAACTGAAACCCCCATGAACACCGTCATACCCTTCGGTTGCACTACCTATATGGCCATTAAAGTCTCCCCCTATGAAAACTCTTTGGTCTTCCGGAATGCTCCTAAGTACATCATCTAACTAATCCAAGCAACGTTTCTCCCCCTCCCCTAGGCCAACGATGGCCATTAAAGTCTCCCTATGAAAACTCTTTGGTCTTCCGGAATGCTCCTAAGTACATCATCTAACTAATCCCAGAAGCAACGTTTCCCCCTCCCCTAGGCCACGTATGGGGCGTACAGTGAAAGGACATTCACCACTTCCGCTTCTATAATACCTTAATCATCATGATCCTATCCCGGTATCTACAAACTTCAACTACATTTTCCTTGAGCCTAGAGGATACCAAGATACCCACCCCATTTCTAGCGTTATCTACATCTGAATACCACAACTTGTACCCATTACACTCTCTGGCACGAGCCCCATTCCACCTAGTCTCCTGAATACATGCAAAATCTATTTTCCTATTACTAAGTACGTCGGTCAGCTCCAGTAGCCTAGCATTTAATGTGCCTACATTCAACAAACAAACTCTAAGTCTAGTCTCCTTGACACCACTCTGTCGAGCCCTCCCCCTCTACACCCTATGGGATCTAAAAGAAGGACATGACCACAAGTAATCATCTATAGCTGAAGCTATGAGGAACTATGAAAAGGAATCCAAAGAAGAAAGAAGATGCACCAATAAAACGCTAGAGAATTGAGGGGTACTAAGAAGCCTAGTTGGTTACTTAATAGTATTTTAAGAAAAACTAACACTATCTTACTTAACTTTAGGCCAACAGCTAGAAACCAATAATTGGATTTATATCTTACCTAAATATGTAAAAGTAAGATACAGAGGTCATTTTTATCTTTGTATCCAAATCCGAACATGTCAAACAGATTTAACTTATTTAACCCCAAGATCAATAACTTTTAAAATATCAACAGATTTGATTTAATAAATTTCTAGCTACCATAAACAGACTAAAAATATAAGCCAAAAGAAATCAATCAAATGCAAACTCTAACAGTCAGATCTCACTAGAATAACATAGGATCATATTATTCAAAACCAAGAACCCGAGTTAAACTATCAAATGCTAACAAAATAGTAAGGGGAAAAAACAACTGAAATTGTTGGGATATATATAAAAAAAAGGTAGTTCAAACCCAGATAACAGTGAAGAACCCGAAGAATAGATCCATGAAGAACCCGATTTAGGTGAGACCCAAACCCAGGTAGAGATCTGTGATGGTGAAGAACACGATTTAGGTGAGACTCAAACCCAGGAAGAAATCCGTGACGAACCTATTTTCGGCTGAATCAAACTTTGCTTCCGTAGTGGAACAGAGAGAGAACAAAAACAACTGAAATTTTCGAGAATGAGAAACGGGAGAATGGAAGCTGATATACTCAGCGGTGGCACATTTTTACAAGAAAAATAAGATTGCAAAAGTGAGAATCTCCAAATACATCTCAAAATAACACATATCCAGTATTCCAAAAATAGAGTTACGACTAAAGTACATGAAGGTCTATGATAGTGCATACCCACTAAATAAACTCAAGATGTACTCTACTACTTTGAATGATTTGGAATACAAGCTATGCGATAAGCTCCTTGATGGTCCTCTTAAGAACCTACGCATGAAAACAAATTCCAAACACTAGGCTCATAAGCTCAGTGTCACACTAATGACTATATTATACTACATGTGTTCATCATATGGTCATGCTAGCAGGTAAAGAAATAAGCATACAAGTACGCTAAACACAATACTAAGGTGGGTATCATGGTGTGGTCAGAGGGTTTCCTATATCTTTGGTCTCACACCCCTCTATCCTAATATACCCTAGGGTACGTAGGGTGAGATCCAAATTTCTACATAGAAAACATACACCTGATCTACCTACTCCACGTGAATACTCAGGGAATTTTCACCCGACCAACAACTAAAGTGCATTAGCATTATCTGATATATATATATGGGTATTTTAAACAAACAAGACAATCTTTATAACTACTAAAGTAACTCGAGTGTCCTTGCAATCACACAAGGACTACTTTTATGGCATTTTACTTTATAAGTTTTCTTATGCTTTTGCTGGAATTATTAGTTGTTATAACTTGTAAGTTTATCAGAGAAATATTGAAAGTCCTAAACTCTTCTTAAATTCTTTTCTCACGATTAGGCTTCTTGCCCAAAATTGTGTGATGGTACAGATACTAAGCCTGTTAGTACAGATATTATTCTAGCAGTATTGATACATTTCCACTGTCCTGACAGTATCAATACTTTCTCTTAGTCGATATATTATATTCGATGTTCTAAAATTACTATATAGTATCGATACCCTTAGGTGGAGTATCGATACTTCTTTATTGGGTATTGATGTCGTCAGGGCACTAATACCAAATTGAGGTAAAATGTTAGAGAAAAATAAATCAATATTGATACCCTATTTAGGGTGTCAATACTTCTACTTTGTATAATATCAATACTCCTTGAGTATTGGTACCAAAATTAACTATTGGAATTTACAATTTGATGCTGGTATATGGGCACTAATACCAAATTGAGGTAAATGTTAGAGAAAATAAATCAATATTGATACCCTTATTTAGGGTGTCAATACTTCTACTTTGTATAATATCAATACTCCTTGAGTATTGGTACCAAAATTAACTATTGGAATTTACAATTTGATGCTGGTATTGATACTCGAAGAACAAAATCGATACCCTATGAATAGGGTATCAATACTACCCAGCCAAAACCCCTTGTTTTAACTATATGAAGAATAATATCGCTAATGTTCATCCACTACCAATGCCTAAACCTAGAAATGCTCTATTTTCTTACAAAAATGATACCCCATTTTACCTATTTGCCTATTTAAGGCCCTTAAGCGTTATTTAAGTCTTATGTAAGTTGATAGGGGTTATAATAAGTCATTTTTCATGATGTATAACATCAAATGCCATAATCTACCATGAATGTACTTGCATACTTAATGAACTCATACAAGATAACAAACACATCTAATGACTCACAAGTGGTATAAGATAGTTAGAAATGTGTTACCTTAGTATTAAGCTGCTAGAAAACAACCCCAACTTAAGTAATCACAAGCTTCTCCTTACCCTTGCTCTTTGAACTATCCCCAACCTCTTTCACTAATCAAAAGATAAGAAAATGGGTTACCAACTCATTTAAAAGTTTAGAAAGGACTTAAGAACACTTCTTAAGGTTTTAATCCACTAAAAACGAGCTAGTTTAGTAAGGATTTTTAAACCTTAAGTTATGGCCATCATAGTTAACCCTTGATTTTGTGGGCTTAAAAAAGCTCTAAGGATGTTGATTAAGAATCTTAGCTTCATTTATTCGGACTAGTGATGTTGGAGGATAAAACTAACACCTTTGAGGAGGTTACAAAGGAGAAGAGAATGTTTGAGAAGAAGAATAAGATAAGCTTTTGGGAATGGGGAGTTAAACAAGCTACACAGTTACATCATCATTCTTAATGATTTTTGGTCTTTCTAAAACTAAATGGCATAATTACTTCCTTAGTCCCCCAAACTGGTCTCAAATAAAAAAAATCATTTTATATCAAATTGGGCTCAAACCAAACCTAATCCAACTCAAACTTGGACCAAGGCTTCCTACAAGGTTTATAAGTTTATTTAAATCATCTTGGGTTAGCCCGAAACTACTAACCCGAGATCCAGGGCATGACAACATGACATCATTTGGATGGAGAAAAATATCTAAATTAAATATCAAAAAGTCATAATTGAATGATCAAATTATGATCAAATTGATGGAATGCATAAATAATAATGATTAAATGTGTAATTATATAATTTTTTAACTATCATCACCACTTCCGTTAAATGTTAACGCAAGTGGTTTGATTGAATGCATTTAAATAGTTGGTTGACCTAATTAACAAATTTCAAAAGTAATGGTTAAATGAAAAGGGACAATAGTTAGGTGGCCAATGGAATAGCTTATCGTTCCTTTTACACAATGTATCAAATTAAAGTATTATAGGGCAAACTATTTGTATGATCACTTAATTATTACTCTTTTTTATTTATTTTGACCACCGATTTTAAAATTTTAATTATTAAAGTGTGTTGATCAAGCCATAAATAAATTTAATTTTCAATTAGATTATGACACATATCACTACCTAGTTAGATTTTTTTAAGTTATTATTTATTTAATTAATAATTTTTCAATACCCTAGGTACTCGATGAACTTCTCGTCTACTTTCCAACTTAATTGAGAAAATAATTTTCTCAATACCTTATATAAGTCAATTCTCCCCAAGCTATTGTTCTAGTAATTTTACTATTTTAAAAAGATATATTACAAATAAGTACTTAAGTATATCATTTTTGTTATTTAAGTACTTAAAATATTTTTTTATCAAAATAAATTTATAAAGTTATATTTTTCTCAAATAGATATTTAAAGTAATATTTTTGCAAATAGGTACCCAAAATATTAATTTTTTAATCTAAATATTAAAATATTCTTTAATTAATGTCACGTGTGAACTTTTTTAAAACTTATATAAAAAAGTTAATACTTATTTTGTCAAAAAAATATTTAAAGTGTCTATTTTGACAAAAATAATAATTTACGTAATTGTTTTAACGAGAAAATGCTTTAATAACTTAAATAAAAAAAAGATAACATATTTTAAGCACTCGTGATATAAGTCCTTTTAAAAATAATTTTTTTTAATGTTGATATCTAATAAAATAATAATAATTTTTTAACATCCAACTGAAGTGAAGTGCATGGTGAATTTAGGGTTTTGGATTCCTTGATTTATGTATTATCCTCAACCAAAGCTTTATTTCCATTTGTCTCATTCATTATCACTGATATTCATCCCCAAGGGTCCTTTTTCCTCTAGAGATTTTAAATTCCAAAGGAAATAAGATGGGCAAGGCGGTTCGGGTCTCTACACTGAAATCGGCAAGAAAGCCAGAGGTATAAAAATACGATTTACTTTTAATAGGAATTACGCATTTTTGTACTTATTTGAAGCTTCAAAGTGTAATGTTTATGTTTCTTCTTTTTTTGGGGGGGATTTTATAGATCTTCTTTACAAGGATTATCAAACTGACCAAAAGTTCACTCTGACCACTACCTCTCCCACTGGAGTTGTAAGTTGTTGTCCTTTTTTTCTGCTTCGTTATTGCGGGATTATATTCTAGTATTTATTTTCTTAGATTTTTTAAATTAAGTTATTAACTTTAGGTGCTTTTTGTTCTGTCGAAACCAAGTTTTCTTTGTCACGTTTTATGATATTGTTGAGATTTTCTTAGCTTTCTTTATGGGTTTCTTCAGCTTGATAAAATTGCATTCCATGAACCAAAATTCTGTTTATGTTTACCTTTTTTAGATTTTGTGGGAGCTTTATATGCATGTGTTATTATAAAGTTATGTTGATTACAAACAAAAGGATGAATACTTTTAGCTGACCTTAAAGGCAGCTAGCTGATATGTTCTTCAGACATATACATATATGTAATTTAGTGCGTTTCTGGCTATTATGTTATTAGATTTCAGCGTGGTTATCTCATCCTTTTTACTGCAATGTATCATGGGAGAAGCTCGATATACTAATCTGCTCTAAGAACTTGAATTAATCATTTGCCTTTTTTTCCCTCTTCATCTTTAGGCAATTACCTCTGCTAGAACGAAGAAAGGTGAACTGTTTCTTGTTGATGTTAACACCCAACTGAAGAATAAGAATGTCACAACTGATATCAAAGTGGACACTCGATATCATTTCCTCAACTCTTACCCTCGGCTTAGCATCTTTGACACTCGAACTTGTGCCAAGACTGCACACATCTTCCCAGACTCACTATCTGGTTCATCATTGAGTGGATTTTCTCTGCCACTCCAGGAACAATATTCATCATCATCTGACTTGCCTTTATCACGGAATCTCTTGCCGCTACCTTCAGCTTTAGACTTTGCTTTGCAAGTCTTGTTCTTCTTGACTCTAAATTCTTTGATGGACTCAGCATTTGTCAAGGCTTTAGACAACTCCTTGACTTCTCTTCACTCCAACAGTCTCTTCACCCATGGCTTCAATCCAAACATGAAGGTGAGTAATCCATCTTCTTCAGTCAAACTTGGGACTTTAAACATGAGTTTTTTGAATCGATTCACATACACCTTAAGTGTCCTTTTATGCCTGAGTCACCTCAAATTGGACCATGCCTCCATCCTGGCATACTGTGAGCAGACTTGCTCACTTTGCACCATCGGCTTGACGTCTTTATCTCTTGCTATCGTACTGGGTCCCTTCTTGTTCTCGACTGCTTTGACACCCGCAGTCTCGTCATGTTTCGATCCTGGATTGACTACTTGAGAACTTATAGTCGCACCACTATTGCTCCTTGATTCGGCTACTTTGGAACATATAGCCTCACTAAGTCTTTCCCCTGTCTTGATTGCTTGGATACTCGCAATCTCGAGCTTTTTTTCGGGTTCGGCTACTTCAACATCAACAACCTTACCTTGTCTCGATCCTTGATTGGCCGCATTGATCCCATCAATCGGACCAAGTCTTTTTCCTAACTTGACAGCTTTAACACTTGCAACAACACCAATTATTCTCCCATCCTCTTTATGATGGTTGTAAGGCGACGTTTCTCGGGACATCCTCTAATCAAATGAGGACCATCTTAAGAGAAGGGTCGAAGTAGGGGCTTGTCGATGATGTTCAAGTGATGAACAATCCTTCAAAGACTAGTGGACTAGAGTCGAAGAGAGCCAAGACGTTGAGGGACAAGGCAACCACGGAGAAACTGTCCATTTACAAGGTGGGAAGCGAGCTCCAACATTCGTGTTAGAAGGGATGAGGTAAGAAGAGGAAAAAAGAGGCATCGAACTTTGCCGTGAGAAAGTGTCGATGTATGATGAAGCAAAGAACTCTAATGAAAAGAGTTCAATGCGAGGAGTGTCAGACTTCAGGGAGTAAGAAGGACTGATGCAAATTTTTGAGTAAATGTCAATTAAATTAGAGGGGGAAGGTACATCTCAACACTACTCTAGTGTTCTTTTGAGTTTGATTTGTTGTTTTAAGTGAGTATAGATCGAGCAAGACCTAACTCTTAACGCAGAGGAAACAAAGTTTGGAGGGGATCCAAGACTTTGCCGCAGGACCGGGAGGGTCCAAACCGAGACAAATCAAGACTTGTAGGAAAGAGAGTTCTTACGGTAGAGATACACTTGTAGGTGTATTGGCCCATTTTATCACTTGACGGCAAGAGCCGAAGCAAGCACATCTGTTATGGGAGGCTGATTTCTTAGGGGGGATATGAGCAAGTGGTGGCGTCGAAAGGCAACCAAGTTGATGCAAAGTATGGCGTGAAATATTGTGAAGTTACATGCGATAAAAGCCAAGGCAAGCAGTTCGCATGGGAGGACCAGAGTGTTATGATGAAGCAATGTAGGTGGAGAATTCAGTCAAGTGGGAGTCTTCCATGAAAAATGAGATAGACTCGCTTATGTCAAATCAGACGAGGGAATTAGCTGTATTACCACCAGACAAGAAAGTGTTTCATAACATACATGTTAACAAAGACGGTGACTACGGACAAACTGAAGTTGTGTTCAGCTTTAGTTGGCAGCTTCAGTTGGCATGCTAGAGTAACAAGACCAGAAATGTTGTTGCATTGATCGAGGTGTAAAGACAAATTAAAATTAGTCTTCAAGTGGGAGATTGTAAAGTAAAAAAAGGTGTGCCACCGCCTAAATGGATTTCAATAAATTCGGTGCCCAATTTTGTTGAAAATGATAATAGAGATAATTGCAATTTAGTCCTTACACTTTAGAGTATTTTCAAAGATTAGTCCTTAAGCTTCAACTATAAATATCCTTACCCATTTAGCTTTACAATCATCCCAAATCATTTTCTTGTGAATTGTGAGTGTTTTATAAACACTGGAGTTGTAAGTTGTCCTTTTTTTCTGCTTCGTTATTACGGGATTATATTCTGGTATTTATTTTCTTAGATTTTTTAAATTAAGGTATTAACTTTAGGTGCTTTGTGTTTTGTGGAAACCAAGTTTTCTTTGTCACGTTTTATGATATTATTGGAATTAAACGAGTAATTTCTCTATAACCAGATTAGTGATAATCCAAAATAAAAGCAAAAAAATAATACCCGAAATTGATAACGGAGTTCGGCCAATTATGCCTACGTCTCCAGACTGCTGCAGATTTTTTACTAAAGAGAAAAAATTTACAGGTGTTTACAAAACATTCACAACTCACAAAAAAACTCTCGAAACTCTTTAGTATTGAGAGAAAGAAATGATTTGCGATAATTTTGAAGCTAAATGGGTAAGGGTATTTATAGTTGAAGTTTAAGGAATAATATTTGAAAATACCCTAAAGTATATGGACTAAATTGTAATTATATCTATTATCATTTTCAACAAAATTGGGCACCGAATTCGGTGCCCCTTTGTTGAAATCCTTTTAGGCGGTGGCACATCTTTTTTGACTTTACAATTTTTCACTTGAAGACTGATTTTAATCTGTCTTCACATCTCGATCAATGCAGCAACATTTTTGGTCTTGCTACTCTAGCATGCCAACTGAAGCTGAACACAACTTCAGTTTGTCCATAGTAACCTTCTTTGTTAACCCACTTGTTGTGGAGCGTTTTCTCGTCTGGTGGTAATACAGCTTATTCCCACGTCTGATTTAACATAAGCGAGTTCATCTCATCTTTCATGGAAGACTCCCACTTCACTGAATCCTCCACCTGTATTGCTTTATCATAGCACTCTGGTCCTCCCATACGAACTGCTTGCCTTGGCTTTTGTCGCATGTAACTTCACAATCTTTCGCGTCATACTTTGCCTTTCGATGCACCACTTGCTCATGTCCCCCCATAAAGACTGCCTCACATAACGGTTGTGCTTACTTTGGCTCTTGCTGCCAAGTGATGAAATGGGCTAACATGCCCACAAATGCATCTCTACAGTAAGAACAATTTCTTACAAGTTTTGATTTGCTTCGGCTTGGACTCTGCGACAAAGTCTTGGATTCCCTCCAAACTTTGTTTCCTCCGCGCTAAAAGTTAGGTCTTGCTCGATCTATATCCACTTAAAACAACAAATCAAACTCAAAAGAACACTAGAGTAGTGTTGAGATGTACCTTCCCCTATGATTTCATTGGCATTTACTCAAAATTTGCGTAAGCCCTTCTTACTCCCTGAAGTCTAACACTCCTCGCATTGAACTCTTGTCATTGGAGTTCTTTGCGCCATCATGCATCTACACTTTCTCACGGCAAAGTTCGATGTCTCTTCTTGCCTCCTCCCTTCTAACACGAAGGTTGGAACTCACTTCCCACCTTGTAAATGGGCAGTTTCTCCGTGGTTGCCTTGTCCCTCAACGTCTTGGCTCCCTTCGACTCTTCTCCACTAGTTTTTGAAGGATTGTTCCTCACTTGAACATCCTTGGCAAGCCTCTGCTTCTACCCTTCTCTTAAGATGGTCTCTGAAGCCATGTTCTCTACACGAACATGCTCGGCAAACTCCTTGGACACGAATAACTCTTCTTGCACTTGGCTTCTACTCGCCTTGGCAGAAATGAATCTTATTGGGCCAACTCTCAACGCCTCTTCGATCTTGGGTTCGTCCTCTTCTCTGGACAACTCGATTTTTGGCTCATCCATCACCTTGGATGACTCGGTTCTCCTCAGGTAATTATGCAACACTTCTGACATCTTAAATCTGCGCCCCTAGTTTGTTTGACTCTTACCCTCGGCTTAGCATCTTTGACACTCGAACTTGTGCCAAGACTGCACACCTTCCCCAGACTCACCATCTGGTTCATCATTGACTGGATTTTCTCTGTCACTCGAGGAACAACATTCCTCATCCTTTGACTTGCCTTCATCAAGGAATCTCTTGCCGCTACCATCGACTTTCGGCTTTGCTTTGGAAGTTTTGTTCTTCTTGACTCCAAATTATTTGATGGACTCAGCGATTGTCAATGCTTTAGACAACTCCTTAACTTCCCTTCGCTCCAACACTCTCTTTGCTCATGGCTTCAATCAGAACATGAAGGTGAAGAATATATCTTATTCGATCAAACTTGGGACTTTGAGCATGAGTTTTCTTAATTGACTCACATACTCCTTAAGTATCCCTTTATGCTTGAGATGCCTCAACTCCATCCTGGCATACTGTGAGCAAACTTGTTCACTTTGCACCCTCGGCTTGACGGTTTTATCTCTTGCTATCGCACCGGGTCCCTTCTTGTGCTCGACTACTTTGACACCCGCAGTCTCTTCACGTTTCGATCCTTGCTTAACCGCATTGATCCCATCAATCGGGCCAAGTCTTTTTCCTGACTTGGTAGCTTTAACACTTGTGACCGCGCCAATTCTCGCTACTTCTCCTTCTTCCATCCTCTTCATGATGGTTGTTTGACGACGCTTCTCGGGACATCCTCTAATCAAATGAGGACCATCACAGAAGTAGCATTTCAATTTTTCCTTGCTCCCCTTCTTCTTTACACCGGACTTAGCTTTGTCATTCTTTCCCGATGGCTTTCCTTGGCTACAAACAGTCGATGGCTCACTTTGGCCATTCGAAGAGCTTTCTCTATCATCTCTCTGTTGCACCTTTTCCCGGTATCCCCACTGTTGCCACTACCCTAGGTATGGGCCTGGACGACACATTGCTACTTGGCTTGACTCTTGTAAGCTCAGCCAGCTTTTCGACTACAGCTATGGCCTCTGAAAATCTCTGGGCATCTCCTTGCTCTCCCTCGAGCATCGCCCCTGGTCTAAGTCCTTCTAAGAAGGTCTTGAGCGCATCCCATTCACTCATTGCTCTCTTGCATATGAGCAACTCCCTCTTGAGCTCATCCACTTCATTTCTCAAAGCCATCGCTCTCACTCGAATCTGGCTTCTTTTGGATCGTTTCTGACAATTCCCGCGAACTACCGTGTATTAGAACACCTTCGTCGACAAATTCGTATCGCCGACAAAATTTTACTATTCACGAAATTCATTATTCACATGAATAGTAACCTCACAGAAAAAACCGAAGAAATTCACCATCAAAAGCTCTGATACTAGTTGTTGGGAATTAAACGAGTAATTTCTCTATAATCGGATTAGTGAGAATCCGAAATAAAAACGGAAAAATAATACTCGAAATTGATAACGGAGTTCGGCCAATTATGCCTACGTCTCCAGACTGCTGCAGATCTTTTACTAAAGAGAGAAAATTTACAGGTGTTTACAAAACACTCACAACTCACAAGAAAACTCTCTAAGCTCTTTAGTATTGGGAGAAAGAAATAATTTGGGATAATTTTGAAGCTAAATGAGTAAGAGTATTTATAGTTGAAGTTTAAGGACTAATCTTTGAAAATACCCTAAAGTTCATGGATTAAATTACAATTATTCCTATTATCATTTTCAACAAAATTGGACACCGAATTCGGTGCTACCTTTGTTGAAATCCATTTAGGCGGTGACACACCTTTTTTGACTTTACAGTAAGTTGTTGTCCTTTTTTTTCTGCTTCGTTATTGCTGGATTATATTCTGGTATTTATTTTCTGAGATTTTTTAAATTAAGGTATTAACTTTAGGTGCTTTGTGTTCTGTGGAAACCAAGTTTTCTTTGTCACGTTTTATGATATTGTTGAGATTTTCTTAGCTTTCTTTATGGGTTTATTCAGCTTGATAAAATTGCATTCCATGAACCAAAATTCTGTTTATGTTTACCTTTTTTAGATTTTGTGGGAGCTTTATATGCATGTGTTATTATAAAGTTATGTTGATTACAAACAAAAGGATGAATAATTTCAGCTGACCTTAAAGGCAGCTAGCTGATATGTTCTTCAGACATATACATATATGTAATTTAGTGCGTTTCTGGCTATTATGTTGTTAGATTTCAGCGTGGTTATCTCATCCTTTTTACAGCAATGTATCATGGGAGAAGCTCGATATACTAATCTGCTCTAAGAACTTGAATTCATCATTTGGCCTTTTTTTCCCCTCTTCATCTTTAGGCAATTACCTCTGCTGGAACGAAGAAAGGTGAACTGTTTTTTGCTGATGTTAACACCCAGCTGAAGAATAAGAATGTCACAACTGATATCAAGTGGACTGACTCCAATGTAAGTATTTTGTCTGTTCTTTTTGTTGATTTGTAGCTTATTTGATGTATATGTTTGACTGCCTGGTTACAATTTCCTTTTTTGTGAGTGAGATAAGATGCTCTTTTCTCAATTATATATTCTTCGTCCTATATCGAATTCTTTCCTTTTAAGAAAATTACTAATCAAGTATCATCCCCTGATACAAGCATGAGACGGGTTCTGACCTTGAAAACAACCTAATTGGAATATTCAATTTACCTTTCCCATGCACGGATTATCTCCTCTAATTTGAAACATGTGCTTTAACGGTCCAGGATAATATGTGCTTGATATCATTGTTTAGAACATCATATCACTGGATCATGACGTAACTTTTGGGGATCTGATCTTTTTGGTAGAAATGCTATTCAATTAAAGGATATTTTTGGTTGAGTTCGTAGTTCCTTTCTTTCCCCTTGTATTCCTTTTCTATTAATTCGTATGTGTGCATCTTTTATAGGCTATTTTGAACATTATTTGTTGCGTTAAAGTAGTTTTCATTTATCAGCTATTTACCACCATAACGGTTGATGAACCTGCACCTGTGCTGAAGGCTATCTTTAGCTTCAGAGTACCTGATCAGATGTCTGGCAAGGTACGCGATTCTGTTGTAAAATTTCAATTTGTAGTATTAAGAACTTCCTTCTTGTTTTGGCTTTTATCTCAAGAACGTGTTACCATGCCTTTAAGTGTGGATACAGCTTCATGATGCTGCTGGACATATCTATTTCCTTTCTATGTATACCAGATTGAACTCCAGTATTTGCATGAGTACGCTGGGATAAGCTCAAGTATAGGATTGACTGCAAACCCTGTAGTTAACTTCTCAGGCGTGTTGGGGACAAATGTTCTTGCACTCGGTACTGATATTTCTTTCGACACAAAGACTAGGAATTTCACCAAATGCAATACTGGATTGAGCTTCTCCAACGTGGATCTAATTGCTTCATTGGCTTTGGTTGACCCTTGTTTCCATATGTAATGGGGAGGTCTCCTACGGAAGCTGCTCTCAACCTGGTATTGGGGGCAGCCTACACAAAGTATTAAGTTATACATATACACTCAAGAATTTCAGCTGTGGAAAGGTGCCTAGAACATAATCACATACAAAGCCAATGAAAAGGGAGACTTGGTTAACGCATCCTACTATCATTTCGTGAACCCGCTGACTAATACTGCTGTTGGAGCTGAGGGGACCCATAGCTTCTCAACCAATGCGAACACCATCGGGGACACAACATGCAATTGACCCATTGACCATGGTCAAAGCACGGGTGAACAATGTAGGCATGGCAAGTGCAGTCATCCAGCACGAGTGGCGCCCTAAGTCCCTGTTTACGATTTCGGGAGAGGTGGATACCAAGTCCATTGACAAGAGCCCCAAGGTGGGACTTGCTTTGGCACTCAAGCCTTGAGAGGTTACGATGATAAGAAGGGTCGTTTTGGTGAAGAGTATGGTAGGCTTAAGAATTTTTCATAGGATGTTGCCATATATCTACTCTTTGGTGTCAATGGTTTTCATTAAAAAAAACAATAGAGGTTGCATAGTGGTTAAAACTATGTGGTAACTTTTGAATCATTCCTTACTGAGGTTGTTTTGCATGAAATGTGTTTAATGAAGAAAAAATAAGGATAGTACCTTCTGTTTTTATAAGCCAAGGATCATCGATTCTCTCATCACTGTTAGGGGCGTGCATTTCTTACTGGTTTTTCATATGTTCATATACAAAACAATATGAAATATTAAACACTGTTCCGTGAATATTAGAAAATATATTGAAGTGCAATCTTTAAAACTGGAAGGAAAAGATAAAATATACTGAAAGTTGAATAAAAATATATTTGGAAAAACAAAGACATATTTCAAGTCGAACTAAGACTCAAACATCAAATACTACCTATAATATTAATCTCAATCAAATTCCAATCCAACCCATGATTAGCTTAATGATATTAGTGGTTATTGGCATTTAAAGGTTTAAAGCTCATTAACTGAGAATAAAACTTAAAAAAAATAGATTACGATAAGAACAATATGATCTTACAAACCAATGGTCCCTGGTTTAGTCCTGGGTGGCAACAAATCTCAAAGAAACATAGAATACGAAACAAAAACATCAAATTACCTTTTCCATGCAAAACTGGAAGAACAAATAAATAAAATTATACGAAAACTCCAAATTCGATCATTATTCCCTCATGCTATCTCCACCATCTTCCTCATCACTCAACTCGAGATCAGCCAGCAACTCTTCCAATGGAACAGAAGGCACGTCATCATCATCAGCCATGGATGTCATTTCCGATGCTTGGTAATCTTTGTCGTGGTACAAAGATAAGTTGAACCTTAGTTCAGGGTCCTCTTCCAGATTTCTCAAGAATTCTTCGTACTCGGAGGTCAACTTCTCTCCGTTGGATCTACCCCTGGATTCATTGAGTTCCATCTTGAGCGACTTGAGCTTCCAAGGACGAGACTTCCCACGCTTCTGGTGTTTCTCTTCATAGCTCTTCTTTATCAATATTACATCAGGAACTACAAGGTCTCTATACTTGTCTAGTTCACTAACATTAGAGTTGACGCCATAAAGGTCATAACCGAGAGCACGATCTCCCGGCTTTAATATGTGGCCCAGATGAGTTCTTACACAAAACAACTTACTGTAATTAGTAACACGAGCCACTTCAACATCAGCTATAACGTATTTGCAGCCACCAGCATTATATTCTGGAGAAACAACTTCGACATTGAAGACATCATATTCCACCAGCTACATGCTACTAAGTAGAGACTTAAAGGGATAACTCCAATACTGGTCCCTGTCTAAGAAACATTGCCTCAAAGTAAATGGACCCAGCAAAGTAATGTTGTTCGTCACGTTTGTGCAGATTACGAGTGGACCGAAATTCCCCAAACTAACAGCAACTCTTGGAGGTAAACAAATCAAAACCTCACGGCAGATTGGGGATATTTCAACCGAGCATGTGTACTTATATTGTAGCTATTATTCTTAGTATCATGAGAAACTAGCCGCTCGGAATGCTTACCCTTATTGTCGGAGCAACTTTGTCCAAGAAAACAAATTTCGAGGCATGACTCTCGTTGCTAGAGAAAAGTCGATACCCCGATCCATCTGCTTGATTTTAATGGCATGAACGGCAGCATCGTGCTTCCGAATGACCTACTCCAGATAAAAGAAAGTACGTCGGTGCGAGACACACTGTCTTACCTGCACAGAAGCCACCCACTGATCCGGATTGGCTTGAAACCTAGTACAAGATTCGCACATGTGATCCTGCTGAGCATACTCAACAACATAAGATAGCTCTAGAATTTCTCCATTAAGAACCTCCTTCTGAACTTTCAGCTTGACCTTGATTCTCTTAGAATGAGGCTCAGTCCAAATGAATTCGGCATTTACTAGCTTAACCTTTTTCAAATCAGTCTCGAGTCGTTTCACACAATATGTCAATAGCTCCTTCGATTCCAGCTGAGCTTTTAGCCAACTTCTGGGTGGCTGCAAGTAGCTATATCACTCCGGACAATGCATTATAGTGACATGCTTTCGTAAACCTTCCGTAATGTCAATTTCAGATCTCAAATATGTCACACACATGTTTGCGGGATTTGGCGCCATCAAAATACCACATTTGCAACACAACACAGTGCCTTTGTGCCTGAGGAACCACGAACATATTTGCAGCCATACCTACAAGCCCATGAAGAAAAGAAAAAAAAGGAAGATAATGAGTAAATAACAGTTCAAAGCAACATAAATCAAAGGCCGAAAGGTTAATTGTAGACCCCATATTTTGTCCTCATCCCAGCAGCCCATACCTCACCCAGCCTGGCCACCAAGCCTCCACTAGTCCTTGTCTGCCTCCACTAGTCCTTGTCTCCCTCCACTCACAATAAAAAAATTGCATATGATATTGTATTTAAATCAACAAGTGTATGATTAGTTTATTATGTTAAATCTGTAAATGGCTATAAATAGCCGGATGGAAGTTGTATATCAGAGAGGTGGAGGGATTCCAGACGTTTTTTTAGAAGCAATAAACTACTAGATTGAAGGTTGTTTTCTATTTTTTATTACAGTTTCTTTATTTTTATTATTTTTTATTGATTTTCTGTTTTGAATTTTTAATAGTTTTTATTTATTTATTTTCAATAGTTTTTTATTATTATTTTCGAAATAGTATGTCATTTTAGGTGTTATAAATACTAATATATTCACACATATCTGAAATTAAAAAGTAATCGAATGTTTTTATTTATTTATTTAAACCTAATCGACTCAACTAATAGCATAAAATATATAAAAAATAAAAAGAGAGTCAAAAACTTACCTTTGTCGAAGGAGTGTCGTCAGGTGGGAAGATTCGAACTAAATTGTAAGGGATTTTCTCCCTATTTTTCTCAATAAAATCAAGGCAACTAAACGAATTTCAGATATGAAAACAAAAATAAAGAAACAAGGAAGAGATGGGGGTTCTGGAGATCCACGGGAAAATAGAATTTAGGGGAAGGAGTTGCTTTTATTTTAATTTTGGGAAAACCACAAGTTAACTCCTCCTTATTTCATAGCTTTTTGTGTTCTAGTCACTAATTTTAGTTTAATACTATTTAGATCCCTTTCTTTTCCATGTGTTACATTTAAATCATTATATATAGGGTCAAATCACTCCTAAGTCCCCCTAGTCTAACCATATTTTAATATTATGGTCATTATGCTTTCGAATACTTTATTTTAGTCATTATTTTACATTTGGCTTAATTATTGTTTGGTCTTTTAATTTTTTTTTCGCTATTTTAATATTTTAAATTTCTATTTTTATTTAAATTTTTTTTGCAGCTTATTCCTAGAATTAATTTGATCCATGAATTTTAATCCTTTCCAATTTAATTTTTTTTTATTCGAATTTTCCTTTATTCTTTTTTATTTACTCTTTTTATTTCGATTTTAATACTAACTCTTTGTGTTTGTTTGTTTTAGTTTTTACTTTATTTATGATCTTTTTAGGATAATTTTAATCAATCAAAGGTAAGTAATTTGAATCGAATTTTTAAATTTTAATTTTTGCAATTAAGACAACCGATAAATTAAATGGTACCGAAAGGACAGTTCAAGGGTGCTAATCCTTCCTTGACTGTAACCGACTCCCGAGCCCTACATATTTCTGGTAAAATGCAGATCAGGTAATATGGTATCCGATCAACCTAAATATTTTGTTTAAATGATCGGTGGCGACTCCTAATATTTTATTTAAGTCGAAGCCCAATTCCGGGCCCAACCCGAAAGGCGGTCGAGACAGCTTGGCGACTCCACTGGGGACAATAAGTGAGTCAGGCCATAATTAATTTTCGGTTGTCTTTTTATGCGAAAATGGTAAATTTAAATTTTAATTTATTTATTCGATTCCAATTATTTATCTTTGAATATTTTTCAAATAAATAGTTGTACTAACGTTTTTTTAATGTTTTCAGATTTTTCAAAATTGTCATCTCATGCTCTATACCCGAGCTCCGAACCCTATTTAAGTGGGGGTGAAAGCGACGCCTTCGTGAGAATTTATTCTCTGTGCGGGCCTAGCAAGTAACCTTCGGGATTCATATACCTTATGTCTTCGTGTGAATTTATTCACCGTGCGGGCATAAGGGAATGTGTCCTCTCGAGTTTAACTTGGTCCATACAAACCTGTGATGGGTTTAGGACTAAGGGTCTGGTAAGCCCAAGGGGGCACCAGCAAGGAGAACTCGGGTACCATTTTAGAACTTAAACCGAGAGACCATGGAGAATTATAGCCTACCCCGAAACCAAATTCCAAAACCTAGGATATTTTTTACCCTAACCATGTTTTTTGTATTTTTTTTCTTTCGTTATTTTTTTATTTGTTTATTTTTTTACTAACTTTTTTTGCCTTTGTGTTTGTTTTCTAGCATTTGCATCATAACAAGAGGCTATTGATCCCTAAAAATAGTTTGTTACACACGAAATAATCTGAATTAATGGACAAAGGTGTTGTAATACAAGAGATTAAAAACGTCGAGGCACGACTATGGTCCGAGAAGACGCAGAAAGAGAAGGGAGATAGTCTTCAGAGTAACTATGTGTCAGAGCTGGTTAGCTACGCATCTGTCAGCCTGAAACAGAATAATGTCCAAGAGCTGCGGAACATTTGGGACAGTTGGAAGAATGACAGTTAGCAGAAGTTTAGCCAACGATATGGTGATATTGCCCTCTTACTACATGTCAAGACTGATGAGCCCCTGCTCCGAGCATTGATTCAATTCTGGAACCCAGGATATAGTTGTTTCACCTTTAACCGGGAGGATATGGTGCCCACCATCGAAGAGTATACTACCCTACTGCACTGTGAAAGTATCAGACTAGAAGAGGGTTTGGGAAGCATTTAC